AGAGAGAGAGAGAGAGAGAGAGAGAGAGAGAGAGAGAGAGAGAGAGAGAGAGAGAGAGAGTTCCTCGACTGGCAAAAAAATCTTCAAATTTGAGACTCCCTTTCATTGGATCCTTACATGTTGTGCACCCTTGCATTCACCAATGGAACCGCAATCTTGCAGTTGTACTCTTAACCCCACACTTTCCCTTTTCATCTTTGGGCAATCCCAAAAAAAACAAGTGTAATCCCAAAGCCATGTCGGTTAGACACACCGTTCACACCTGAATTTTTCAACATATCCTGCATGAATGTTCCCATGTTTCCAGGAACATTCATTGAGATACGAAAGGAGTGCTGGCAAAAAAAAACACCTTTCCATTTCAGGAAATGCTGCTTCCTGTGCATAAGAAAAAGAAAAGAGGAAAAAAAAAGAAAAAACGAAAAAGAACAAAGAAGAAAGAAAAGAGAAAAAAGCAAAAAACAAGAAATCAAAATAATTCAAGAAAACAAAACAAAGACTTCGAAAAACTCAGAAAAAGGATAAAGAAAAATTATTCCAGTTGATTGTCTTCTGTGGCGAAACCAGCAGATATCTATAGGTACTACGCAAAACTGCTGGCGCATTTGATGGCAAAAACAAAAAACCTGCCGGCAGTTAAATTGCAGCACCTTTGCACCTTGGTCACAAATGACAAAAGACAATAATCCAGAAAAAGAGAAAAGAAAAGAACCAGAAAAACAAAGACAAAAAATAAAAATAAAAATGGAAAACAGACAGCTCAGGGAGACCAAAAAAACAGCTTTCTCCTCCATCCTTTCGCCGCCATCAATCCCTGCTCGCTTTCCTTAAATGGAAAGTTTAACAATGCCTCGTGCCTTATTGAAAAAACTTCGGTTTCTTATAATAAGGCAAAAGCTGCAAAACCACCAGCAAGCGCACATTCACCACACCTGCCCACCTTGTAGCAGACCATTCTCCTCCCTCCCCTCCTCCCAATTCTTTCCTCATGCCTATTCTCCCTCCAACCCCCTCCCCAACCCCACCTTTTTTTTTTCTTTTTTCTTTTTTTTTTTAATTTTAATTTGGAATATCTCTCGATTTATGCGTGTCATCCTTGCACAGGGGCCATTTGCTAATTTACCCTTCTCTGTATCGTTCCCATTTTAACGGGATGTCAGGTTGAGAGCATAAGATCGAATCCATTTACGACACTTGCATGCAAGTCCCCAATGATGGACAGTACTTGCCAACCAGTCCTCACAATTCCCCCACCCTTCCTCACCCACCCTTCCTCACCCACCCTTCTCCCTGTTCTGTGTCTCCAATTTCTCATCACAACCCTGAACGGACTCGGTAATTGCTCACAGCTCCCCCACCCTTCACCCACCCTTCTCACTGTTCTGTGACTCCAATTTCTCCCCACAACTCTGAACCGGAACTCAACAAGTGCTCACAAATCACCCCCCCCCACTTCGCCCGCCCTCCACCCACCCTTCTCTCACCCTTCTCCATGTTGTGTGTCTCCAATTTCGCCTGAGAACTCTACCAGCAAGGCAATGTAAATTCCCTGCAACCCTTCTGCCACCCTTCCTCTGTTCTGTCTCCCTTCCCCCATCTTCACCCACCCTATTCTGCACCCCTCCACAGTTTTCTCACCATTGCTTGTGTTCTGTTTGTCCTAATTGCTCTCTCTGTGTGTGTGTGTGTGTGTGTGTGTGTGTGTGTGTGTGTGTGTGTGTGTGTGTCTAGGAGACTTCACCGGCAAGATGGTGTTTGGGGAGGCGTCCCTGTATCTTTCCCCCCGTTGTTCCCCCTCCCTGTCCCCAATGAAAGGGAGTCGATATAGTACGGTAGGATGAGCCACATGCAGCCGGCTTGCAGTTCGGTTCAGCTCCTCATCTCACTCAGCAGACAATCTGCGACGATTGGATTGACATTATCCCGTAATAGATGACATCTCGAATCTCGATATCAATCGCTTCTAGGTGATAACCGTCGGCTCCTCTCTTCCAGTGAAATCTTTCAGCTTGGAAATGCCCAGTGCAATGTCTGAAAACACACACACACACACACACACACACACACACACACACACACACACACACACACACACACGACCGAAGTGGACAGTGGACAAGTAAATCATCGAGGCGACGTGCCATATCCACAACCATGAATGAAATGAAACATGCCAAAATTAAAACAACAGCAACACATACTCGTCAAACAGTAGACATGGAAAGGAAAAGGTGGGAGGGCAAAAGGGGGGGGAAGGGGCAGCAGGGGAGGAGAGGTTAGAATCAGGAACATCGCCGTACCTGTCAACTGCTGCAGGACTACTCCAGCCTGAAGGTCATGCTTTGATACATCAGGCTCATACTTCTCCAGATATAGCCTGATGGTTGCCCCAGCCGATCCTGTCCCCTGCATATGTGTTTATGTGTTTGTGTGTGTGTGTGTGTG